TTTTTTTCTTTTTCTTTCTTCAGCAGATCGATACTGACGTTGTGATATACTAGTAGTATGTGGTCCATATAGTAAAGAAAGTATTAAACAAAGCGTGCACATGTTTCCTGCATCCGCGATCGGTAAAAAACCAACGATTTCGGCAAAAACTCACGATTTAAAAAATAAAATATTTCTTGGGGCGCTGACAAAAACTGGGGCGGACGGGGACGATCATCTAGCTTTTTTTTTTACTTGGCCTAATAGGTGTGTTTATACCAAGACAGTACAATACTCGCTATTCGTATTTCCCGCTCCTTCACCATAGCAACGAGATCCCATCAAGAATAGAAGAGCGCATGCTCCGGTGGTTCTCTGGTCTGTATTCGTCTCACTCTAGTCTCTATTCTTCTCACTCTTGTCTAATATCTTAACTGAATACGTCTAACAAAACTATCCTCACCTTGCTTCACTTGGCTGACCAACACGGGAGCACTGGAGCGAAGCACAAATCCGTAACCGTCCGTGCTGCTTTTCACCGTCAGTGATCTGTAGAGAACAGCGTAATGGACAACACATACATACATGTCACGTTTGTCCTTGTCTCAGTACCATTGTTTTTCTGTATTATTTATAAGTTGGGTACTGTATAGCAGGAAATTTTCGGACGGAATAATTTTCGGACAAAGCCGAATTTCGACCTTTCGCACGGATTTTATCTTCGTACAGTGCTGCATGCTAAATGCACGTGTTCGCATGCAGTACGCATGTATAATGCACAGTGTACATAACTTCACAGGGAACAAGTTTTAGTACGGAATTAATTTTAGTACAAAGGAGCCCGTGTACGAAATCGTCCGAAAATAAATTCCGTCCGAAAATTTCCTGCTGTACAGTATGTGAACATAATAAAAAAAATAAAATAAAAATACATACAAAAAGAACATCATGCATACAGACTTGTACTTGTTGCACACACACACACACACACACATACACACACATACTTGTACTTGTTGCTCACTGCCAAAACTGGTCACGTGGGTCTCTACGGGAGAGGGGAGAGAGACTCAAAAGGAATCTTGGAAAGATGACTCAATCGGCTATTGAACCGCCCAACGGCCGACACCCCCTGAAATCCCCAAAATTCTGGGCGGACTTGAAAATGATCCCACTTATGGGCTCACCACACCTCAGTAAGTGGGCGAGGACAAGGTGCAGAAAAAGGATTGACGGCATCAGGGTATTCATCCAGGGATCCAACTGCATATACCCCTGCCCCCAGTGAAGGTAATACTTGCTACTAGTGTGGGTGGTAAATCAGAGTGAATCCGATATAAGCTTCATTAGCACCATTGATTACAAGAGTGTGTCATCAATCAATGCATACACACACACGCACACACACACACGCACACACACGCACACACACACACACACACGCACGCGCACGCACACACACACACACACACCATTGGACCATTGGACGCCCATCGCCAGAGGCGATGATAGCGATGCTACAGCAGAAGCCATAGCAACTTGTGCTGGGATCGCACCATTCAACAGCTTGCAAGGCTGAAGAATTGACCGCCACTATTTAGCCTGGTCTACACCACACAGCTATAAAGTGGCTTTTTCTGGCCAGTGAATTTTTTGGTCATTTTTATTAGTATTTTTCCCGCACACACAACACACATCACGGCATGCACTGGCTGTTGGTAACCACCCAGGAGAATGAAAGAAAAGTCAGGAAGAGTCTGAGAAAGAGAAGAAAGACGTGTGTGACCATAATCGTCGGGAATCGAACCCGCAACCTATCGATTGGAAATCGCTGCACATACCACTGCACCATATGGGACACACACACACACACACACACACACACACACACACACACACACACACATACCCACACTTGGATGGCAAGCCAATGCAATCATGGACAAAAACGGAAGAACATATTTATCACACAAAACCCTACCGTTTGGTGAGCTCAAATTCTCCCATTCTGCTCCCGCCAGTCGCGAGGGAGGCAGAAGACTCGGGCGCCGAGGAGACTGCGGGCAATGCGACCGTAGCATTGTTTGTCAGTCTGGGATGGAGGACGGCGATGAGAGTACGGAACCCCTCCAGAAGGTCATCGGCGTGACTCTCCGTGCAATGCGATGGTTTTGCAGGTGATGCCTGAACGAGGCAGGCAAGGAGAAAAGAGAAGAGAGAATAGTCAGAATCTAGAAATTCTCCCCTCTCAGGTATTCTTATTAATGTGACTGACTTAAATTCTACATAACAAGATAAGCAGCACCTTTCGATATGTTTATCAATGAAGTAATTCCACCTTCACCACATACGCTCTCTGGCCCACCTTATCACACTACAGACCACATGTGATGGAGCTGGAAATACTTCATTGACATACATTCGCCTGGGTCACTCAGATTTTTCATAGTACGCGGACTGGTTGGGGGACGGAGAAGATCAAAATGTGAAAGTGGCTGCGTTGGAGTTCACCGACAATTTT